GATTATCTAATGAAGTTTTCGGTCAAAGTAGCAATCTAAAAAGATTCGTTGTTCTCTTTATATAAAGATATGAGAAAAGAATTTGTAGATTAAAAAAGGGCTCATCATCATCACATCAGCTGTTAACTGACCACTGCTGAACTTAGGCCAGTAGTTGCCACAATTGGCAAACGGGTTGGCAAAAGAGGGTTACATTATCTTAAGGCAATACGAACTAATATTATTTAACAAAGCAAGACTTTGTACAAGTTACTTGAAGAGGCCTCTGTCTCAGTCATATTTCCATTGTTGAGCAATAGCAGCTTTTTCGGTTTGTAGCATAAAATATGATATTGAAATTACAGGATACAGATGCATAACACCTTAGTTCTCAGGAATGACAACACAAGGGTATCTTGGGCAGAGTTTTTATAAAATCCATAATGCTGTTCACATCTATAGTATATAATTATTAATTTTCATTAGGTAAGCGACTTTTTTATAAAAAAAACAAACTCAGCATCTTACACATATAGCTCTTTGTTCGTGTACTGACATTATTGATTAATCATGTTCAAATTATATAATTTCTATTATTCTCGCTAACATTGGCACCATACCTCGTGGGTGATTAACTCGCAGCTATCAGATGGTTAATATTATGTAGGTATACTTTGCACACAATTTCTTGTGTCAGGATATTATATTAATACTCTCTTCTAATAGTGATACTTCGTCGATGTGTTGGAGTGAATTTTACCTCATATGTTTTTATATAGTAAAATATTAAGATGTAACAACTTCCTGCTCAAAATATAATTTATATTTATGTATGTGTTATTTATTTTGTATAGGTATATATTATTAGTTATTTTCTTTATCTATCTCAATTATGAAATAACGCGTTCGTGATTCCCTGTTCATCTCAAAGATTGACTGATAGAGAATGCTACTAGTATTAAGTTCGCCTTTTGTATCGTGTTTTATATTTATTGATATTGACTTTTTATCCAATATATGTATTTCATCTATGTTATTTGAGATAGATAGAAATATTTGAGTTTCAATGGCTTCTATTTTCACATATACCTCTAGTTTAATACACTTTAATACCTATAACCCGGGGGAAAAGGGATAGTAATGGAGACTAAGAATCCCATTGCTAGCAATATACCTAACCAGGTCGACCTCATCGCGGTTCCCCCTGGAAACTTTAGTCTCTCTAATTTAGAATTATTTTTTTGTGAATGAATTATATGAACTAAATCAAGGGACCTATATTACAACTCAAAACCTATTTTGTATATTTTGTATTTTAGGTCATTGTCCCTGGACAATTGTTACTTTTCATGAAGCCATACAAATGCAACGATGCATTTAACTAAATCTTTAATCTATCTCTAGGAATAATGTAAAAATAAAGATCAATATTATAATTAAATAAAAGTAAATAGAAACTAGACTATTTATGTCATAAACATAGAATATTTATTTATTTATATAAATTAAACGTAAAGGAGACAATTTTTGTCTTTACTGGTATTTATTATTCTGAATCATAATAAACTATCACATCAGGGCCAATATATCAATTTAGGTATTATGCTTTTTCTAAGCATTTCCAATAATGTCATCATTTCTCCTTTAACGACACCTACCGGAAAGTCAGAGATCATTTATTCTACGCCGAGACCACACGGCATACTTCCAATATATAAGGTTTTAATAAAATATTTTGTATGCACACGATTTTTATCCCTGATGGGTAGCCAGATTTATTTCATGATCAATTACTGTTCTGGCTTTTTGTGTCACAAAGGATTGTTAGAATCTACTCGTAATATGCTAGCGAGCGAGCCTAACTGCTCGCCTCGTGACTCTTTTTACTTTAAGTTTAGCACTGTTTTCCATCGTAGACGTATTGATCGCAAATTGCTATTATTAGAAGATTTTAGCGTCGGCCAAATTCGGATTCACTAATTTTAGGGTCTATAAGATAAGACTGCTATTCGGCAGACTAGACCTTTAATATTGTTTTTTTTTTCAACAGTCGCCACACTTAGCAGGCGGATTAGTAGTCGAAATTAAGCTTTGGTGACGTTTTTAAGAGAGATGCTGCTGTCCACCCTTCAACCAATAAATTCCCTTCCATAGTCCCCTCTTACGACTCCCACGGGAAAGAAAAGGATGGACAATCCTACATCATCAGAGCCTAACTATGTTTGTTTTATTTTTCAACAGTCGCCACACTTAGCAGGTGGATTAGCAGCCGAAATTAATCTTTGGTGACGTTTTTAAGAGAGACGCTGCTGCTCATCCTTCAACCAATAAATTCCCTTCCTTAGTCACCTCTTACGACACCCACGGGAAAGGAAAGGATGGACAATCTTACATCATCAGAGCCTAACTATGGTTGCCAACGCATCTGCCAGGGGGAAAAGGGATTGTTAATGATGGAGACTGAGAATCCCATTGCTAGCAATATACCTAACCAGGTCGACCTCGCGGTTCCCCCTGGAAACTATCATGGTTAATTCCTGATGAATTCATCATGATGAGCTAACTGGCCTGTTTTCATTCTCATCTATAACCCTTCACTGGTGTTCTGCCAGCATATACCGTCAGCGCAGGCAGAGTTAACATTCCATTTTCACCCATCAAAAAAAAACCGTCTACTAAGTGTGAAAATTACTGGCAAAATCGTCTAATATGTGGAGGCTTATATTCAGCAGTGGACAGATAATGGCTGATATGATGAATGTTATGTATTTAATGGTTTAATACAAACCTAATAAAGAAAAAGCGATAATTAGCGAAATATTAAGGGAGAATAATGCACGAGAAGCAATCGAGAATGTGACTGTAACGACACAATAAGACATTAAATAAGTCGCTAAGATTGTGAACACGCCTCAAAGGCAGTTAACCCGTGGCCATCATACAGTAAATATCATACGCTTTGTTATCTACCCCGGCTGTAAGGGTTCATGTAATTGCGTTAGCTTCTGAACAGCAAACATTCGTTATATTAATGTCTTAATTACGTCATTAAGTAGGTCTAATTAAGGCACTGCGGCCGAGAGATAGAAAGTTTTATTTTTATAGTGTCTTTGTCTTCGAAATTTAAAGTTCTTTTATCCTATAGCCACTTTTTAGTACCATTGTTTTTTAATGAATATTAATGGTAACAGTGCAAGCGTTGGATAAGGTTTTACAGCGATCCGGGATTTTCAAGATAGAATTTCAGCTCTAAACCTTTGAATTGTCAAAATTCATTTTTTTTCGAGCAGTACTTGTTTTACAGCTACACCGGGCGCGTACAGAGGCGAATTCAGAAGGTACTCCAAGCCGTCGAGAAGGAAGCGATGTAATACCGACTCTTACCGATGATTGTACAAGCCCAAGAGCGCCAGAGTGGCTCGGACCTCGGCTTAGGTCGCTACAATCCGTACTCCGTCGAGGTACTAAAAGTCGGTTGGGTATTGAGGGGAGAAGTGTAGGCGAGTTGTGCTCAGATGCGTACCTGATTATGCATGAACGGTGTGATAGGTGTCTTCGTCCCCTCCGGCAGGGACGATGTAAATTTTGCGAGTGTGCACGCATGTGTGACGAAGTTCCGCGAAAGGGGGAAAGGGAAGAAAGTATTTGCTAATATGGTTGGATCATCTGGGTCCAAGAGAACGTGCCTCGGGTGATGAAATCGGGAACAAAATGCATATTTTACATGAAGTACTTTCGAAAAGCGGACCGATCGATAAGCTACATCTAGAAGAGAAATTCTTAATAAAAGATGTCGGCACCATCACACAATATTATCAATGGTATCATAATACATAAATAATTATTTTTCTAAAAGCAACTTCAAAGAGGCAATATGCATTTGACGCGCGAGAATTTATTTGTTTGCTACGTTTTCTCCGAGATTTCTAAGTATATTTTTATGATTTATTTTTAATTCGGTACAAAAAGCTCATGAATTGATTCGCCAAATTGTTATATACTATACTGGATTTTTTATGATATTATGGCTTATTTAAAAATTTCTGGTTCTTTTAAACTTGAGGATAATTCTGAAATCATTATAATCTTTTTAAATGAGTATTAAACTAGTTAAACAGAATTTTTTTTTCAAAAAAAAAGAAGACAAAAAAAAATGTTTGGATGCGTAAAGCACAGGGCCGTACAAAGTGACGCACTTTGGGAGGGACCTATGTTCAGAAAACGATTGCAGTAGGTTGATGATGATGGTGAAAAAAAATTTAGAGCTCCCATATTAATTTGACAACTGGAAACGCCATGTCAGTATGGGAGATACGAGATATTTCGAGTCACGTTTCGGCAAAAAAATATTTAATAACACTCAACTGAATACTCTAAACATATGCTAATAAATTTGATTTCTTTCTGTATATGTGTAGCAACGTGAATTTATTTCTTCTTAATTGCTTCTAAACAGTTTTCTAATGTAAGTCTATTTGGCAGCGATTTTGTCTTCGGGGCTCTAGGTTTGCCAAATGGGACTGTTTAATTGCTATTTGGGTCAACGCAAAGATACTTCAAAACGCTTGATTTTTCGAAGCACGAAACATAAAATCTTTTCTCTTTAAACTTAAGAATAATGAGATTTTTCTTACATGCTCGTATCAGTTTGATTTCATTGATTTTTAACGCTATTTATTATGTCTGGGTTTCTTTATATTATATTTAAATTTGATAGTGATAACGTCGTTTACATTTAAATTTTTATCCATATCAACCGTTGTCTACTGTTGAACGTTGTAAGCTTCCCACTATTAGGGAATTTTGCTAAAAGTTGCCACGTTTGGCAGGCGAATTGGCAACCGTAGTTAAGCTTTGGTGATATTTTAAGAGGAACTCTGCAGCTCATCTCTTGATCATTTAGTTTCCCTAGTTACCCCTTACGGTACCTACGAGAAACGAAGAGGTAGTCTATACTATGCCGGGACGCCATAAAAAGATCATAAAGTATTTTTAATTATAAATATATAATTTATGTTTACCTGCAAATGACTCGTAAGTGTCAGATGATCTGTCTCCACTAGTACACCGCCTCTGACTTCGTCGAGTGACACGGTACTGTTTCCTCTATACCAATGCATTTCAGGCACGATGTCTCCAGGATGCAAATGGAGTATTGAACACTTCAACGACAAGGTTTCACCGCTCTCTAAGAAAGCCTCTTTGCTCATTCTTATTTCCGGCGCTGTGAACATACGTTATACAGATATTATGAATGCCTTCGCTGAAGATTGTTTCGGGGAAATCGTTCTATGAAGCGGAATCTTGAAGACTCTTTAAGCGAGATACGTTTGGGACGCCATCCGGAAATAATGTACTAATAGTGGAATGCGGTTAAGAAAATTTAATATTGTACGGGAAATACAAGTAGTATGAAACAAGTTACTATGCAATTCCTATGCTACTATCTAGTGTCACCAAAATGAAGATAATTTTATTAATATTTTGATATTTTATTACAGTTAAGAAGGCTATTTTGTATTGCAATCATAAAAGACAAAGACAAAACACTTCGTATAGATAAACTAAGATCATTATTGACTTAAATATAAAGTTTTATATACATACTAATATGTTTTGATATAGTTTAACATTTATATGAATTTTGTGATATAGTTTTATGTACTTACGATGTACAATTAATTTAAAACGTCTTATCATAGGCGGATGTGTAGATACATGGCAGCAGTATATACCAGAGTCCTGAACTTTGGCATCTGATAATGATAATCTCCAATTGTCACCTGCTACATCCATTCTGTATCTGTGAATATAGAATATTAGTAAGTAAAGTAACTAATAAACAATAAGAGTATGGGCTAAGTGATGTAACCGTGAAGCAGCTGTGTTTGCATGGCTGTGTTTCGGTTTGAAGGGTGGGATATGGCGTGAATTTACTGGGTACAGAGGAATAACACCTGAGTCCTCAGGAATGGCAACGCATGGGGGTATCATGGGTGAAACAGTATACTCTGTTATGTCCATGCTACTGCTCATGTCTATAGGCGACGGTTACCACTTTCCATCAGGTGGGCCGTCAGTTTGTTTGCCATTCTAAGTTGTATAAAAAAAAAAATGTAACTCAGAAGGTATGACTTATCGTTGATACGATTCTGATGGACATGAACATTTTATTTGTTAATGTACATTTACAATATGGAGTACATTTATTAAAATCAAATATATATAATTTAAATAAACTTAGTTTTATCACGTCTTCAAATATGCTAAATATAATTTAGGATTTTGTTTTAGAAATTGACAAAATTAATATGGGATTGACACAAGAACATATAAAGTACATTACGTAAAATATTTATCAAAGTCACTTCAGAATTGCATAAAGTATGGTGTAACTTCCCATACAAAAACATCATTGACATTAAAATCGAACACTTTTTGAGGTAAATTAACAATGTAATCAACTCGAGCCTTATACTCGTATTGTTCGATCTTAGTAAATAAATTATCCTTTACTAATATATTGTAGGTAATAAGATCCTAAGCTCGATTTTAATCAATATTATCCACAATTTCCTTATTTCAGTATTTGTTATCCACTATTGAACATAAACTACCATATGGAACGGTTCAGTCTTTCCTGCATCTATTAATTCCTTGTATGTATCTTAAATATATTTGAGGCTATTTCTTGCAATGTCTATGTACAGTATAGGCTGTTTATAGGAGAGCTTCTATGATCTTCAAATACTATTATTAATTCAACTTTTTCATACCTATAATCCGCAGTGTGTGTATCTAGATCTAAAGTAAGTAATTCTAAATTTTCCTCATCAGACACTCTAAGCCATGAAACCTGTAACAAGAAACAATTATATTTATTATAGGCAGTAAAAATATATTTAACAATATATGACATTAAGCTCGTCCTTGTACAAAGTTTTATTGCGCAATAAAGAATAAAAATAAATTATATTATCAATTTTAAAAAAATATGTCTTATGTAACACTGTGTAGGAGAATTTATCAAATGTATTATTATAGTTTTCTAAGCATCTGTTATCAATATTTGGAACAATTAAAATTTCTATGCCTTAAACGATTTCAAAAAGGATTAAATTCTTAAACAACATCTTTGCATTTCTTTTTTTGTGTACTTTTATTTTATTAATTTTAATAATAAATTTCGCATATGATGCAGTTTGATTTCTTGTTAATACCATCAGTTTTATTATGAATGAAGTCGTTGTTATTTTACTGCGTAGATTCTTATATTATTTTAAAATTTTCTTTGAGTTTAGTGTCTATAGTTTTTATTACCATTTTATCTCTTAGCGACGTTACTTTACAGTCGAATATGACTGTTGAGCCAGTATCTGCATCGAGTATCGTGTCATCAGACTCCTCTCCTTCAAATGACGGTGGTTTGAATCTGAAACAATAAATATTTTTTACTGACTTCATCATTTCTTTATTCAAGGTTTTAATAAGGTTGACGATCAGAAAGCATACTTGGTATTCTCAGAATTATTGGAATTTTCTATCAATCAACTGTTAAGATGTAATTTGGATTATGGATAAATATTTATTAGTATTATAAATGTAAAAGTGAGTTTTTTTTTTTTGTTACCGTAATTACTTAATTAATCACAATGAAATTTGGTATATACGTGCTATATAGAATAGAGAAGTATACTAGAATAGAGAGAGAAGAGGCTACTTTTGTCCTGTTCTGTAAACATATCCCGGTCACGCCATGCTGTCGCGTGTGAAAGTTTATAATTTATATTTTTTTACAATACAGATAATTTATATATTAACCATTATCTGTTTATTAAGAGTTCTTCAATTGGATATGACTGTATTTAGAGTTTATTCGTCTTTATTGCATTAACATCAATGCAAATTATTTTGATGTGTTTTATTTATTCTATTATCTCTGTTTTTAGTACTTATCTTTCTTATTTGCTTTTTAAGACATGTTACATTATGTAGTAAATATTTTATTGATTGGTATTTGATCTCCAATTTATTATAGTTCAATACAGGCGTATTATGGTTTTGTTCCGCTAATCGTCTCTTACGATATCATGGAGATGAAGAGGAATGGCCTCTTTTCTGTTGTTAATCCTTACCGCATTGATAGCGGATAAGAATATAGACAACTTTTGTAGAAATAAGATATTTTTCTGAAGTATATATTATGTAATATACTATACAGATTAATACAGAAAACATAGAAGCCGCAAAACAATTAGCAGTTTATCTAAAATATTATACTAATGATACTGAATATTTTTTCTGAATTTTTCAAAACATAGGTCGATGAATGACGAAATATTTAAAAAAATATAGTCTTCTAATTTATCTCTGAAAGGGGAATTAATAATTTAAATTTCAGTTTCATTTAACTAAAAAAAACTTTTGGAATTATTACTGTTTTTATGTGATACAAAGACAAATTAGCACTTTTGCCTTTAAAATGTTAAAATAACAGTAAAAATAAGAGATAAGAATTAATGCAATCATTTAGGTCTTCATCATCATATCAGCTTTGAACTGTCCAATGTTGAACGTAAGCCTCCCCCAAGGAGGGTTTTGCTAGTAGTTACCACGCTTGGCAGAAGAATTAGCAACCGCAGTTAGACTTTGGAGATATTTTAAGAGATACGCTGCTGCCCATCCCTCGCCCTCTCTTACAACACCCACGGGAAAGGAAAAGGTTGGCCTATTCCATACCGGGACTAAACGGAAAGACCATACTAATTTACCTGACAAAAAAATACAGTGCTAAAATGTATAAGTTAATAGTAAATGTAACTTGAATACGATTATAAATATAAATATTTTTATTTTAAACATTTCCTCAGCCAAATTCAGCCACCATCTTTGATTACCTTTGTAAACGGTGAAGATAATGCTTTGTTTGTCTTATATAGCCACGCGCGTACCCCTTCAAACAATCTCAGATACCCTTGGGGGTACGCGTACCGCTAATTAGGAGCCATTGCAGTAGAAGGCAATTAAAATTAAGTAAGAGGGTAATTGAACGGAGAATTTTATAATTAGATTATGTTATGGAGTAGAATAGAAATGCCTAATCCAACTCGAATATACACGTATTATAGATGTATTATAATGTAAAAATCTTTTATATTTGTTTATTTATTATTTGATTTATTTCCTAATTCATCGTTTTGTGTATAGGTATTTAATTTAAATTGAGACTAATCTAAAATAAGCATATTAGATATCATTATAATCTAGTTTAGGAGTTATATACAGCAAATTTAGTTTTTTTTTTATTTTGCATGTCTAATTATGACGAAATATGTGGACTTATACCTATTGTTTATTGATAAATGTTTCTTATAAATATTTATTGATTAACTTAATAAATACAAGGAAGGAGGGGAAGAGGGAGACTGAGGCATAGTTACCATCAAGCAGATTAAGGAAGGAGTTGATGTCGTGTCGTATTAATAGGTGAAGAGACTCGTTGAAAATCGTAGTGAGTGGCAAGAGCTCCGCCGACAAGAGCGCAGCTCTTAAATAGGATAGATAACTTAATCAATAGTGATAAGAATAGAAACAAAAAAAAATAGAAATAATTTTAAAATGAAGACATTAAATCCATATTAATACTATAAATGTGGAAGTATTTTTAATTGTATGTTACCTCTTTACTGCTTAACGGCTTAACCAATCACTATGGAATTTGGTACACACATATCACCAGAGGAAGAATTTCTACAAAAGTCGATTGCTTGGGTACCTCTGTCGCATTCGTGTTTCTACCGTGAAGCAGTTGTGTTTGCATGACTGTGTTTCGGTTTGAAGGGTGGGATATGGCGTAAATTTACAGGGTACAGAGGAATAACACCTGAGTCCTCAGGAACGGCAACGCATGGGGGGTATCATGGGCGAAACAGTATACTCTGTTATGTCCATGTTACTTCTAATGTCTATAGGCGACGGTTACCACTTTCCATCAGGTGGGCCGTCAGCTTGTTTGCCATTCTAAGTTGCATAAAAAAACATACAATATGAGATGGAGAAGAATATAGGCTATTCTTTTCCCAATCGGTGAACATATCTTATTCATACGGATGAAAAAAAGTACAAACTGGTATTATATAAATTATATAAAAGAAAGAAATTCAAGTAATCAAGTAAAAAATGTTTGCAAATCTTGGTTATATTAGATTAAGCTAAGAGAGATAAGAGAGATAAAGATAGTGTAATTATGAATATGTCTGTAATATATGAATAATTTCTTTATATCTTCCAAAGACATGAAAAAAAGAATAAGTATAATAAATAATCTGGGTTACTAAGCGTTTAAGATCTATTTTATTGAATTATATACCTACCTTAGATGTACAGATCCAAAATACTCAATAACCACTAAGAATAATGACCTATTTTTTCTTTGAAAAGACTTTCTAGAGAAAGGTCATACTCTTGTAATCCTAACCCATTCAGAGGACTCAAGAAAGAGGTAAACAATTCTATGCCTAAACAAGTTTACGCTTCTGACTTATTCAAGGAAAACGGCCTTTATTCTTTATAATTAGGACACAAAATCCGTCACATTTTGCATTAGAGAGACTGAGATATGTCTTTTTATATAGAAACGGCGAAGTGATTGTTCTCTAGTCACTGAAATAAATCCTATATATAAATTGAAGTGTAAATAAATTTAGACACCAGTTGTACTGCAGATGTCGTTTGCGTAGCGTGTAATTGAATCTTTTCGTGGAATAGAAATAATTTCCCGATGTCTTTTTTTTAATTAAATTATATAAGAAATCGACCTTTTATTTTTTTTTTATTTTTACCTTTTCAATCAGTATTTCTAAATTTAAACTTGGAATTTATAATCAACTTTAAAAAGGTAGAGATGCTCAATTCGTTTATTGCTTAATGTTCGTTGCCTCATAACTCCTTCAGTTAAAAATCTATTTGGAAAATTTTGTTTTTTTTCTATCTGAAAGGATAACAGATTGGTTCTAAAGAAATTGAATCAAAATCGTTTCAATAGTTTAGCTCGAAAATCAAATAACTAGGTTTTTCCATAATTAAAGATTTTTTTGTGGACACGATCTTAATATCTTACTTATTTCAGCCACCAAACAGTATATTTGTATACTGAGTTACAGATGATTGGTAAAATGACAATATAATAGTGAAATTACTGGATATTTAGTAGAGGGAGACTTTGTACAAAAGTCGTTTGCTTGGGTACCTCTGTCGGATTTGTGTTTCTACCGTGAAGAAGCTAGTTTGCATGGCTGTTTCAGTTTAAAGGTTGGGATATGGCAGTGAATTTACAAGGTACAGAGGAATAACACCTGAGCCCTCAAGAATGGCAATGGCAAATGCAAGGGGGGTATCATGGGCGAAACAGTATACTCTGTTATGTCCATGCTACTGCTCATGTCTATAGGCGACGGTTACCATTTTCCATCAGGTGAGTCGTCAGATTGCTTGCCATTCTAAGTTGCATAAAAAAAGTTACTGGATATAAGAGAATGTTGAAGTCTCAGTTTAGGACTATTAATACATAACACTATGCACATATTTGGATATACACTCCTATATATTATTATATTTTTTTTAAATTTCTAGAAAATTCACATCTCCCCTCTTAAGGAGAGGAGATGGCAAACTAACCCCCGGCAGAAGCACAGTCGGCCGGGGTTCAGGGCCCCAGGGAGAGAAACCGGCGTACAATGCGGGCAGAATCTAAGAGCACCGCTTTCTGCATCTTTCCCGAGAGTGAGCCATATTATTATTATTATTTATATGTTATTATTTACAATTTCTGTATGTTTATTTTCTTAGTATACAATGTATTTGGCATTTATGCTCAATTCGATTTTATCTTTTACACAACTTTTGTGCACTATCATCGTGAACAATTCTTGTTGAATTCGTCACGATGGGCCAACTGACCTGCTTCGTCCTCACCTATCATCCTTCACTGGTGCCCCGCCGATGTATACCGATAGCGCGGGCGGGGATACCATTCCATTATCACCCATTAAAAAAAAAACTTTTGTGCACTAGATTACCCGTTATTCGGCTGAATTTCTTTCGGAAATGTCCCTTATATTGTAGGCATTCATAAGCTAGGGTAACCGCTTATAATCAGGTAGACTGTACAACTGTTTGCCACCTCAGTGTTATAAAAAAAAATGAAAAATTAAAAAAGCAATATTTCTTTATTATAAAACGTAAATATCCAAGGTTGTTTATTCCTATATTTAAATTTAAATAAAAATTAAATATCTAAATATGTGTTCTGAATAAAAACTAATAATGCTATTGATTCAATATGATTTTAATTTGTCCTCAATGAACTCCAGCTCCGAGGCTTGGATTATGTTATTTATAAATACATTACACATTTTTATACCATTAAAAAAT